TCCCTATTAGTGGCATTAGTTTTTGTTCTGGACCAGTTTTTCACTCTTACACCCATCTCTGACAGACAAAACAAAAAAAAGGGGATATAAATAAAAGACCATTTTGTAGTGAAAAAAATATATGTATATACAAGAGAGTTAGGATAGATATATAGCTACTCTCTCTTAGTTCAATGAGAAGAAAGGTTTGTACTAAAAGTGTTTAGACAAGATATTATGTCTACATCTTGTCCTCTGAATAACTACTGTGAAAACAGCAATATGGAATTGTAACAGTCTTACTAACCTGTTTTGAAACTGTTTCATTGCTATTTTATCTTTTTTCCCATTAAAATGAATAAAAAACTTAAAAACTGAACTATTTTCAAACTATAATTAACAAAGTTGGAGGATAAACATAGGCATTAGTTTTATTTAAGGTGCTTTTAAAAGGCCAAAATAAAAAAGTCACAGGTTACATAAAAATATCACCTTGTTTTTAGTGGCTGAAAGTTGTCAACTGATGAACTTCCATGGCTAAAACAATCTTACAAAAACGTGTTAGTCTTCACCTAGAATATGGATGTGGAAAGAATATACTTCAGGTAAATCCCAGTTATTTGGGAATTGTGTTTAAAAAAGAAAAGATAGCCAGCTTTAAGGAGAAAGCTTGTTCGTGTGTTTTCCTCAGAAAACTGAAGAACCTTCTTTCTTCTTCAGTGTACAGCTCTGAAGCCCTTTATTTCCTGCTAATCACCCTCATGACACTCAACCCTCACAATATTTAAATGGAATCCCAACGGATTAGGTAAGAGGGGGAAATATCCCACTGACCATTTCTTGAAAGATGTGAATAGACAAAATATTTTCATATTTAGTTGTATTTAACAGCTGAGAAGCTGTTAGACATTGATCTTTATAAAACAAGAATACATTAATCTAGAGAAAAAATCTATACACCAAAGTTTGTGTTTGAAATACATTGCAGACAAATAATGATCTCAATAAACCTCTTTTCATGAGGTACATCCTTATGATATATGTAATAATGACAGGATCAAAGATTCAAATGTTTATTTTCAGTATAGTTTTATTTCCACAAAAGTTTTGATTTGTAATATCATTATGAAGCAATTCAAATGAGGCTGGCTCTAAACAGTACTGCATCACATATCAATATAAATTGGACTTGTAGCTTGATTTATTCATAGCAGTGCATTGTATATGATTTGGGTTTATTTTTTGTTTTAAAAATGTTTCCTTTCTTGAATTCATATTAACTGTCATTGAATTTTATACTAAAAATTGGTTTAAATTTATGATTAGATGTTAGCATCCATTCAATAGCCCGGATATCTTTGCTTTGACAAAATAGCAACAAAATGTAACTCAGCTTCCGACCCACCACAGAAGTCAGAAGTTCCACTTTTGTCCTCATCTGTGTAACATGTGTTAGCAGATGTTACTTGTGTGTCGGCACCTGTTCGTCTCCAAGCTAACTGGGGGTTTACTGCTCCTGCAGCTAACTGAATCCTTTCTGGGCACTGCCCCTACCTTAGGGGCTCAGTTGGTTCATGGAACTTACAGTGAGCTGTGGAGTGGCAGAAAGGAGTGCACACTAGGAGTTGGGGCCTCAGACTCCTATCCCATGTTGACTACTAAGCAGCACGTGTAGGAACGGTGACAGCTAAAGCCACTGAGTCCTTCAGGAGTGCTATATCTGACGATGGTGACGTGTGCCCGAGTTCCACAGGACGTAAGCAAATGTGCCTGGGATCGTGTATTTCAACAAAAGCATCTCAAGACTTTCCTAGGTCCTAGAGATTTTGGATGAGTGAGACAAATCAGCTTATCTGAAGGCTATGGATGCTTCAACAAAAAGTTTTATCAAATTGTGCCCCAGGTAAAACTATTAATAACTGCTAACAAAATGTTTAAGGAGATAGATATATTAAAATGCTGATTCAATTATTATATAATAAATATATGTAGAAACTCATGAGTTTGAGCTTTATACATTGGTTTATAATTTTTAAGTAATCTAGTTGTATTGCAAATGTGCTTAATATAAAACAACATACACAAATTAAAAATAAACAAAAGGCTTTACTTCTCTTTCTAGCTAGATAAAAGCAACTGTTGAGTAGTTAATTGTGCCCAGCATATACAATAAATGTATGTTCATAGGAGAAAAGTAGGAAGAGGAGCCAAAAATAAAAGAAAAAAGAAAAGGAAGAAAAAAAAGGTCAAGCAGGCAGAATGAGGAGCCCCAACTGATCTGATTCATTTCTCTCTCGGTCTCTGTCTCTCTCTGTCTCTGTCTCTCTCTGTCTCTCTCTCTCTCTCCTTTTTCTCTCTCATTTAGTACAGGGTCTACAGGGTTTCACTACACAGATCAGAATCACAGTGATCCTCCTGTCTTCAGCTTCCTAAGCACTGGGATTACAGGCATGTGGAGATTGAACCCCAGGTCCCTGCATCTGCGTAAGCAGGCACTTTAATTCACTAAGCTCTCCAGTTACTTCATTCTTTCTACATCTGAATTTTGAAACCATATATAAACTAAGATTGATAAAAATGTGTATGTGAACTATAATAATATTTTATTATGTGTATTTTATCCATTTAAAATTTATTCTAGATAGAAATGGATATTAATTGTTGATTGATTTTCTGACCTTCCAGCAAGAAATTCACATTCAAAAGTATCATAAAATGGTTAGAAATTTTGAATGATTGATAAATCTAGACAGCAACTAATCTAATAATCTGGACTGTCGTAGAAAATTATTTCATAATACACAAAGATCTTGAAAATTTTCCTCTTACACTGTCAAATAGATTTTCACAACTGACTTCAAGTATTTAAAACTCAAATTTGTGTATTAATCTGTCAAACAAAACAGAGGTACTTTCGTGGACAATTTTGAAACATGGTCACTCTAGTTACTGGTCAGTGTTTTTGTTCTAAGTTTTTATTCTCAGAACACTGTGTGTTCAGAACAGATTTGATTCATGTAAAATTACTGTACCATGTAGAGTAGAAATAGCTCCACAGTAATGAATAATTCTTCATTTTCATGACTTTTTCATGAAGCTCTTCCTAAAATGCCAAAAGCATATGCAGGTGAGGAAGTACTTTTGTTTTATTCCATACAGTTTAAATAATGTGAAAAATAACAGTATAATTTAATTAAAATATGTTACAAAAGCACCTCTGAAAAGATGATATGAAATTAACATGATATATTGATAGAAGAAATAAAACCCTTCAAAGTGACACAATTATATGAACTTTTATGGTTTTATATCCCCAAGCAATTAGAAAAAGAATGGTAGGCAGTGTGCAGTATTTAAACACTATCGGGTGACATAAGTGTGTCTAATGAGCCATAATTTTATTTATTCCAATAAATCTTAGCCTGTCTTATGAAAGTAAATGAACAAAAATCCATCATAAGAAAAGTTCTGAGAACATACGAGTTGCAGGCATTCACTTTGCTTGCTCAGCACACGTCCTGCTTTTCACTGTACGTGCTCAGTGCTAAATGTTGCTTCAGCAAACCTCATCTTAAGTGCGGGGCTCAGAAGCGCTTGATGTGGGGGATGAGGGACTATGCAGAGGGTGACTGACGAAGCATTCTAAGTCTAAAAATCTGAACACCAACATTCACTGAAATCTAAAAGCTTTCACTGTATGTATAATTTTGAATTTTCAGTTTAGGGATGCCTAATCTCTACTTAAAAATGATTAATCATATTTTTCTAATATTTACACTAACAAGATAGTGAAACAATGCACATATTCAAGGGAATTCTAGAGTATTTTTCTGTGCTATCATTAGCTTTTATTGGTTTCTGCCGTGTTATATTTACAAATATCTTATCTAGTAGAGAAAAATGCTTCATGTTGCAACAGAGTAAAGAGTAGAAATGATAGTAATTATTAACATGAAACATCCAAATCAAATTTCCTTCTAAGCAAATAAATAAGAAGCAATGGGGAGTATTTGAAAAGTCAAAAAGGACTGTTCTGTTTTTCTAAAGGGAAATTAACATGTATTATCAAGTTGAATGCAACATAAAGACCCCAAAGCAATATTACTCCCAGTCTGAAATATTAATTGAATATCTCAATATGTTAAGGAACAGAACAGACCAATTTTTCAACGAAAATTAAGCATAAGGTGACTGGAATAATGTAGCTGCTACCTAGAAAACTGAAATAGAGCTATATGAGAAAGAATCAAGGTTGAGAGAAAACCGTCTCTGTGAGGATTATTTGCCTCCTGCATTTTATGTTTCATGTTGGGATTCAATTCATTTCTATTTGTTCTTTAATTTTACATAGAATGTCCTAATTTATTGTCAAAGCAGAAAAAGCTAAAAAATTTGAACTTGAAGGTTATAATTTTTAAGGGTTTTTTGTTTGTTGGTTGGTTGTTTTTTTATTCAGGGTCTCACTGTGCATCTTGGACTCGTAGTGATCCTCCTGATTTCTGCTGCCATGGTGCTGGGATTACAGGCCTGCGCCACCACACCCGGACTCCATCGCTGGCTCAGCATGTCTGGGGCGAGGCCAGTGTGGCATGCAGTTCCAGGGATCGAACCCTGGCCCCTGCACTTATCTAAGTAAGTGTTTAGTCCACTCAGGAAAGTAATAACTTTTGAAAGGTGAAAACAGAAATTTGAAATATGAAGGGGAAAATCTGTTTTCTTATTGGCAACAAAAATAAGTAAGAAGACTTAAACAAAAATTTTTTAAATCATTTGAGTATATTAAAAGCTAATTTTTTTTCCTAAAATAGTTTATTTTCTTAAAATGAATGATTTCCTGCTTGATCTACTGATGTATTAATAACGCTATGCAATAAAGTTGATTATAGCAGGAAAATACCAAATGGAGAAAAGTTGAACTTTGTTCTAGTCACCACTGGAACGGCGCAGATTAACCAGCGCCGTGGGTTAATCTTCACACCGTGGGTTAAGACCTTCACCCATGCGAGTGCCAAAACCCTCACCTGGTTAGCAATCTGCCGAGCGAGCGCGTCCATCCGGGATCCTGACTCAGATATCATCTTAGCTGCGCAGATCACGTCAGTGGTGTGCTTTAGTGGGCCTTTACCCCTGAAAATAAAACAACATATGTCAGGCTCAGGAGCTTAGGAATCAATGTAGATCTGTCTGTATATTTATTCGTAAGGGTCTATATTCATCTGTAAATTATCTGCCTACCACATTGGCAGCTACTTTTATTTACCTTCTTCCTAAGGGGGCCCTTCTTCCTAAGGAGGCCGTGTCCTGAAATAAAAATTTTAAAACTTAATGAAGGTCTATTATGTTAATATCCAGTAAATTCTGCAGAGGTGATGAATTCTACTTGATCCTTATTTCCATGTTTTTATTACATCTGAGCTGAGAGATACCTGGGTAGACCCTGATACTTAAATGCAAAAATATTTTCTTGACTCTAGAAGGAAAAATTCATACTTTGGATATTATACACATTCAAATTTACACTTTTGTCAGAATGACTACTTCAATTTTTTGTATTTTTACTTCTTTTACAGTTTTTAATTTAGTTGTACTATATCTCATTATCTCCTTTGCATAGTTAAATCAAATGCAGTAAAACCTACGCGTGAGCGATACATAATCAAGGGACTTGATTTTGGATCACACGTTACATTACTCTTCCACTTGGCCCCATGGTAGTCATTCCTGCTGCTAAGAAAGCATAGCTCAAGCCGTACCTAGATGAATCCACTTATTCTAGCATCATTTAAAAAGCACTCCAGTCCTGCTGTGCCAGCCCTGCCCCCGGAGCGCACTGAGAGGACGATTGACACTGGGCGCGGTGGCGGGCGCCTTTAATCCCAGCTCTTGGGAGGATGAAAACACAAGAACTACTACAAATCTGATCTATGTAGGGAGACCCTGTAGACCCTGTACTAAATACAAAAATAAATAGATAGATAGAT